TGTTGTAAAATTATTCATTTTTACTTTTATTTTTCAAACTCAAAAAAAGCTTTTTGTTTTAATTCCTCAAGGATAACCTACATATAATTTTTGTTTTTTGTTTTTTCACAGCATAATTAGTAATAATATTTTTTTCTTTAAATTTCAAATATATCTTAAAAGTATTTTAACATTTTTCAATATATTAGAAGTGTCTGTAAATGCAATTATACAGTGGTTAGCCATTTTTTTACAATTTATTTCAAATAGATGGCTTAAACTCCTATAAAATAAAATTAATATGATGTTATTTTTTGTTACATTTCAAGTTATTTCTATTCTTAGTAAAATTTAATAAAAATTTTATCAATCGGCAATTCTGGCTGTCAGCAATAACCTGTCATAGCCAATTTTTGACATTTTGTCAATTTCAGGTTATTTCTATATCGCGACGTTAGAATTATCTTGTTCTATCTCCACTTTCTGAAAAAATTGAGTTAATGATAGTGTTGTGTTCCTCAAAATAATGTCTTTCTGCTGAATTAAAAGTTATAAGTAAAAAGGTTGCGGAAAAAACATGTCATAAAAAAAAATTTATACGCCGTCTCCTAAAGTTTTTGTTTTTTTAATCGTTTTATCTCAAAACTAAAAAATGTGGAGATAGAACAAGATAATTCTAACGTCGCGATATGTAAATATGATTGAACTTTCAATGTGATTTATATGTTTATACGATTGAATTTTCAATGTGATTTATATGTTAATATGATTGAACTTTCAATGTGATTTAGTTTGATTCAAAGCTTGAGTGCTTATTTAATTAATTTTTTATTAAATTTTAAAGATATTTAGCAACTGATTATCTTTAAATAAAAGATTCAATAGTGTTTTTTTAATGTTTAATTTAAGAAACCAGTACTTTAATTTTTTAAAATTCTAAATTTAAATTTTAGCTATGGGAAAGAAAGGTGGTAATGCACCAACAAAAATTTGTCAAAATAGATGTCTTTTACAGAATATACAGTATTCTCAGCGAAAAGTTCCGCTAATTGTATTGGTTTGTCACCAAACCATCATGCAAGTAAGAAAAAAAATTGATACCGGATAAGAGTTTGGTGTAAGGAGACCACTTTCTAAAGGCAAAACAACACCAAAGAGCAGACTTAATCAAACAAAACATCTGCCAGGAGTACGGGAAATATCAAAAAGTATCAACTAAGCATATTCACGAAGCTAATATTGTTGTATGAGATCGAACCATTGGCAGAAGGCTAAAAGAAAAGGATTGATGTGTCATTGTCCAGTTAAGAAAAATTAACTTCTTACATGAAGGAAAAAAGACTAGAGTAGGCTCGAAATTATTTTCACTGGTCTGTTGAGAATTGCGTAAAGGTATTTTTATACCCATTCTTGTTCATAAATTATTTACAATATTTTATAAATAAAATAATTTAAAATAAGCATTATATTAGGTTTGCTTCTCAGATGAGTCAACTTAATAAATTACAATTTCTAAAATAGAAATCCAAAAATATAAACTCTATAAATGCATATATTTATTTTTGTTACTTACAATATTCTATACCTCGTTGTTATTTTTTTCTATTGTAAGAATTCATTTTTGACTAAAAAAATATTTATTATGACACTGAGCTTAGAGCTGTTAAAGAATGTTTTTCTTCGCGTGTGTAAGCACCTTGACGTTTATTTATAATGCAAGGAATAGATTTTGTAATTAGTTTTTGTACTTTGTTTTGTACAAAGTTTTGTCCACCATACTTTTCAAGTAATGACAAAAAGGTTTTTTTGCTTTTGAAGATCAAACCAAAAGTTTCATCTTAACTGCATAGTGGAAAAAGTGAAGCAGCCACAACGATAACGATCTAGTTTAATATTTGTGGGCAAGGAGCAGGAAATCTCTACAAAGTAGTTGGGACGATAAGATAGTACCAGTGTATAGAAGTTCTGTAGAATCAATTGATTTCCCAAATCGCAAATTGATCTAGAAGTATCAAAAATCTTATGCAAGATAGTGCAATTTGTCACGCAGTAAAATCTGTCATGGCTTATTTAAAACGGAAAAAAATTGATGTACTGTCATGGCTAGGTAATTCACCTGGTCTCAACCCCTAGAAAACCATTGGGAGCTTGTAAAGATCTGCAATATTCACACAAAAAAAGTAAACAAAATGTTTATTAAGTTTTACGACAAGCAGCTGAAAAAATATTACTTGCAAATAAACAGGCTTTATATGTTTGCAAGTATGTTATGTGGTTAAAATTTATCTCGCCTCACCAGGGAAGCAACTAAGATACCCCGTATCTTATGAAACTCATATAATTTTAAGAAATATACTTAATATACCTGAAGATAACAAATAATTAAGAATTAAGAATTGAAAACAAAAACAAATTTAAAGAAAAAAGAAAAAAGGTTCCGTTATAAATACGTAGATGGGTTATACAGTTTTAAGATCGCTTTAACAAAAGTGTTAAACTTGTGTTAAAGATTTTGTTATACAGTTTTAAGATACCTTTAACAAAAGTGTTAAACAACTATTTAAAATTGTTAAATTATAAATATTATTAATGCAGTGTTTAATTTAAATTTAAAAAAGAAACAAAAAATTAAAAGAATATAGATATATCATCTAATAAAAAAATGACTTTTTTAAGTTTTCATTTGAAAGAGTGATAACTAACCTCTTTAGAAAAGTCAAAATTCTTTAAAACTATTTTATTCCAAAGTAACGCTCATCCTTTTTTTCACGGGAACGGGAAAGGGAAGAGAAAAATAATCACTTAGGCTTGTGTGTTATAAGTTTTAATTTATCCGAAGTAAAACTACGCATGCTCACGTGATTATTTTTTCCCTTTCCTGTCCCGTAGAAAAACGGATGAGTGGAAACTCACCTTAATGCTCCTCGAAATGAAATATGGTATTTTCCAGAATTAATTTGATAAGCTGATTGACGAATGTCAATATCATTTCGTAAAATGTATTTAGTTTTTTTCTTTTTTTTTTTCTATACAAATTATAAAAAAGCAACAGGAGAAATATTGTTTTTACATTTAAACATGAAGCATATAACGTTAAAAATATTAAGCTCATATATATTCAATTAATAGAGGCGTGCAACATGTTTCTGTTGACGATAAAGAGATTCCAGTTTACTTTTATTAGTATTACCCCACGCAATGCTCTCATAGTTTATGTGACAATTAATGAGCGAATTATATAGTTTAAGTAATGTATGTTTATTAAAAAAACTTCTTGCTTTTATAAAATTCCTATGCTTTTTGATATTTTACTATTCAAATTTTTTATGTGACTTTTCCATGACAAATTTTCATCAATATAAATACCAAGAAAGTTGGATACTGTTACTTTTTTTAAAAGCGGTGGCATGTATTTGGTATAAGATTTTTTTTGTGATTTGGATGGAAAAAAATCCATTTCGTTTTATCAATATTAAGAGAGTTTATTTGTCTTAAACCAATCAAAAACTATTACTAGTTCATTATTGATATTCTGAAATAACAATGTAATATCATTATGAGATAAAAATAAGTTTCTGTCATCTGCAAACATAATCTTCATTAAATTTATGGCTTAGTCAGGTTATGTAAATATAAATTTACATAACCTGATTTCTATATCTATATTCGGCCGTATATATAACTACACGCGAATATTTTTTTTCAACAAAAAATCATATCGATTATAAACTTTAATTATGGTGGCAAAGAACAGATTAACTTATATTTCTTTAGATCATCCAGGTTATATTTTAAAAATCCGGAAAACTATAACGGGTAAAGTCTCTGGAAAAATATCGGATACATATTTTTCTTTTAATTTTGCTTTCAGCTGAGTTGCTTCCAAGTTTTTTTTAAACTTAACCTAATTTTGTATGAATGAGTGAGAAAGGTTAAAAAAAAATATATATTACAAAAACAAATACCTAAACTTGTATGTACAGAAAACATTTCGGATATCCATAAAAAAACAAAAAGTTAAGAAAATTATCCGGAAAAAGGTAATCCTTGATTTACAGCCTCTCCTGCTTTTTCAAAACCCATGATTGGTTTTTAAGGGAGCCGAAGTAAATTATTTATTTTAATTCCAAATGCTTGTGGAACGACAAAAACACTTCAGCTACCCTAAATTTGAAAAACTATCGGAAAGCATGAAACCATCCGATAAGCACATAAACATGTTTAATGACTAAAAGCGTATTAATTTGTATTAACACGTTCTTTAACGTGTATTAACATGTTTTGTGATTAGTGTGCATTGCTCTTCCTTCCACCCTCCAGCAGAGATCTTATATGTATACATATATATATATATATATATATATATATATATATATATATATATATATATATATATATATATATATTAGATATCTGTATAAAAAACGAAGGGGCAATGCACAGTAAGTACAAGATTTTTTAACGTGTTAATACATGTTAAAAAATCTTCCTGGTAAACCTGATGGAGAAATAAGTTGTTAAAGAAAAAAAATAGATGTTTTTACCAATTTAAATATAAATATATTTAATATTAATTTTTGTTTGAAGAAGAGAAAAACATTATTGTAATTATCATTTAAGATATTTAAAAAATAATATTTTTAAACAAAAGTTGAATGTATTTTAAATACATAATATTTAGACTTTATGTATTTAAAAAACATAACATCAAATCAAAAAACAGTGTCCATCGAAACGGGTCAGTGCAATTATATCACTTTCCATTGATTACTTAAAAATGTTTTGAATCCTGTTTGTAGATGAAAAATTGTGCAAGCGCTTGTTTTTACCCCAGAACTTTATAAAAAAAGCAATATAAAGCAATATCAGGGATGTCATATATTCAGTATATATCATGTTTTCGGCCAGCTACCAGACAGTCAAACACCCGGTATTTTAAGTCGGGTATTATGTGCACCTCAATAAGAAACCAAAACTCATTAAAAACCAGGGTTTTTTTAGGGTTGGAAACAAAAACAACGTGAAAAACTTTTTTTTTTTACAAATATATGACAACATCTTTTTCAATGAAAGATTTTTAATTTTTTTAAAAAAAACCTTTTTAATTCGAATATAAATGTCTTCTAGTTATTTACACGACAGTTAAAAAAAAAAACACAAAAATAAACACCTAATGTAAACCAACTTAATTCTAGTAAATGTTGAATTCATTGCAAATGTACTGCAAGCCAATTATGCTTTTTTGTCAACAAAGGTAGCTATAAAAATTATTCTTCAAAAAAAACTTTTCTACTTTTTAAATATAACTTTTTATCAAAAGGATATGTGTAGGAAAAATATACACTAATAATATCTTATATACAAAGTAGATTGACAAAAGACAATCAAAGAAAGTTAGAATATTAAATAACTAATAGGACGAGTTTTAACTCGTTTTAGAAGCACCCTTTATTTAGAAGCGCCTTTTGATTCACTTAATTCAGCTTGTATTTTTCTATAACGATTCATCCATTCGTCAATCATTTGGCTAACTAAAGCCGGCCTAGGTGTAATTACTTGTTTAGCTGCTAAAATGCCAGTGTCAGTTAAGCAGCAGTCGAGTCGCTTCTGTAAAAGTTGCTCTTCAAGTCCAATCTAAAATATTTGGTGGAAATTATTTTTTCATACAAATTACTTAACACAAATATAAAAACCATTCATAATAAAAATTAAAATGAAACAAACCTCATCCATAGTGAGAAAGTGAACTGGAAGAAGATGCCCTTCATGATCAATTAATGGAAGGTATGTTACATGTGTATCATCTTCATTCCATTCCATATGAGCGCCTGCGCCAGCATAACTTGAGTAACTAGGGCGTTCCATAGGCACAAGTGCAGAGAAGTGTCCACGGGTGTAACCCAAAGCAATAGGATTTTTCCAACAAAAATCGACATCCCATAATAAAGGCAGATAAACTCCTAGTAATTGTGATACATGTGTGCATATATATATATATATATATATATATATATATATATATATATATATATATATATATATATATATATATATATATATATATATATATACATATACATATATTCACAATTGTATATATGTATATATATATATATATATACATATATATATAAATATAAGATATACATACATATATTAACATACATACATACATACATACATACATACATACATACATATATATATATATATATATATATATATATATATATATATATATATATATATATATATATATATATATATATATATATATATATAAGATATACATACATATATTAACATATATATATATTAGGGTGGGTCAAAAAAAATTTTTTTTCTTGTAACAGGCTTTAAACATTGCTAATAGTTATTAATACTGATACTATCAAATATGAGAATGATTGTGATAGATTTAAAGGGCGCAACTTTATTGGGATAATTACCGGTACCCTAATATTTTGGAGAAAAAAAGTTTTTTAAAAGTAGGTCAACGTGGTACTCAAAAGAAGTGAAATTTTATAAAAAATTCGAAAATAATAATCGCTTTATAAAAATTATATTGCCGAAAAAATTGTTATTAAAAAACATGTAAAAATGCACCTTTTTTATTTTTAGTTAAAAAACTATAGTTATTATTCAATAAAATCTAAAATAATAATTTTTAAATGAAAAAATTATTATTTTTGAAATTTTTATAAAATTTCGCTTTATTTGAGTACCTATATCAAATAATTTTGAAAAATTTTTTTTTTGAATAATAATAGGGCCTGCTATAAAATAACAACTTTCTAGACCATAGCCAGGTTAGCAACTCTAAAAAAAAATTTTATGACCCACCCTAATATATATATATATATATATATATATATATATATATATATATATATATATATATATATATATATATATATATATATATATATATATATATATATATATATATATATATATATATATATATATATATATATATATATATATATATATATATATATATATATATATATATATATATATATATATATATATATATATATATATATTAATTGGCCTTCCTCTAATTTGATGTGGTTTGTGGTCAAAAAATAAGTTCAAAATTGCTTAAATAATGTGTTTTAGTGAATGCTCAAGAGTTTCAAAGTTTTTTTAAAAAAAAAGGTGATAAAATAGTAAACTTTCTTATCACATGAGTTTGATTGAATAGAAATGTTGCAATATATTATTACAATAATACAATATGTATATAAGTGTGTTATACAATGCGTAGTTAAAGTATTTATCAGAGTAATGAATGATTACTTTCTATACAGCTTTTCTATACCTTTTTCTTTAACAGAATACTTAGTTTTTCTACAGAGTAATCATTTTTTTTTTTAAATTTATTTATTTGAATTTTCATGCTATATTTTTCTATACAATGTTATATCTGACGATATTGTTGGTTTAGCATCGTACAACAGTCCGGGTCTTAACTTTTTATTTGACGCTTTAATCAATTGAGCTATCCAGCCACTAATTTTTAATACAGAGCTTTCTGTGATATTAAACAATCTGAAACCTTCTGTTCTAACACTTGATGAAGTGTTAGCTGAAGTGTAAAGTTATTATTGAAGTCTGTTTCTAACTTAGCATGCTCAGCACAGTCATTGGTGACTCTCATGCTCGATATATATTTTGCGTGGCAGTGAGATAGACAGGACAAAAAACCCATGCAACTGAATTTTAGGTAAGAAAAATTGGTTCAATTCTAAGGACAGTGAATAGATTCTTTGATATTTGAGTAGCAAATTCTGACAAAGCGTTTTTTTGAAAGAGTACAACTAATTTTGAACTAAATCTTCTGAAATCAGTTTTCATTGGTGGTATCTTTAGAGCAGCAACCATAGCCTCCTCATTATTTGGGACAAAGTTAGAAAACAATGCAAGACCAATCAAATCTTTACTTAAATACCACATTTTCTTAATTGCAATCTCTGCTGCTTGTTTGTCAACAACACAATAAGACTCAAGAGTTTTATTGTACCAAAACTGTTTGGAGCTTTAAGCCAGACTTTCACACAACTGGTAATAATAAAAGACAAATACGATGAAGACCCTATTGTTTGTATGCTAAAAAATTGAACTGTCTACATAAAAATAGATTTTAAAAACAGTATATTCCTATTGGCACAATAATAGGCACCTAGAGAGCTGAAATTAATTACATTATCATTTTCACTGAGTGTGATTGGTATCAGTTAGATGATATCTAAGTAATCTTTTCATGGTTTATTTTTTTCGGAGAAATGATTCCTAAGGAATTTTGGCATACTTTCCTTTCTGAAATTTTTTTTCATACCATCAGGATTATTTGTTATAATATATAATATCTTTATATATGTTATGTATATAATTACATATATAACATATATAACAATATTTTATGCTTAATAGTATAAAATCTTTATACATGTTATGTATATAATATATAGATAACATATATAAAAATACTATATACTATAACAAACATGTTATATAACACCAATAGAATTTTTAAAATGTTTTATTTTGTATTTTAGGTATAAAATTGGAAAAGACTTGAAAAAAAAAAGGTAATGTGCAGGATTTAAACCCTTGCGTTGTACTTCCGAAGCACAGCGAGCTAACTACTTTGGCCACTAACGCACTAATCTGCCAATTTTGAAAAATATTTTAAGAAACCAAAGATGGAATAATTTTATAATACAACAAACATGCTATAAATCAAAATTAATAAGATTTTGCCAAAATGCAACTTTTAAATAAATGTAAAACTTTATAAAAGTAAAAATATCTATAGAGCTTCAAAAATGTTTTATTGTATTTTTAAAAATCAAAAAAGATTGAAAAAAAAAAAGAACAAGTATTTGAACCACGGCAATCCACTTCAGAATGCTGGGACCTAACGACTTTGGCCACTAAGGTGTATCATTTGACAAATGTCAAAAAGCAGCAGCATTTAATTTGATATTAATTATTATAGGATTATCAATAACACTATGTGGCTTTGGTTCTAACCTTTTGTTTTGTTTGGCTAGAGTTTAAATAGGGTGGTTTTCTAATATAAAAGTCTTTCTACTCTTTTACTTGCTAGTTAGCAGCTCCTCATCACCAGTTTCTTCATATTATGAACATGAAATTTGTTTAACAGATCAAATCTTAGTATATTTTTTCACTTCAGTTGGAAATGTTGATACACTTGTTTTTGTTCATATTCTTTAAATTTTAAACCTTTTTTACCCATTATTTTTGTTTTTTCTCTATAGTCTTGTAGGAATACTATATTTGGCTAAGCTTTGTCACAACATGAACTACATCAAATAGCTAATAAAACTTGTTTACTAAATCAGTTTCAAATTTTAACTGTTTTTCAGTTCTGCAAGACTTGTTTTTCCCAATTTAACATAAAAGTTATGCAATAATTTTAGTTTGGCAATATCATTTCATTTTTTGTGTTTTTGAAACATTGCAATAAATCAAATTTGTAAATCTCATCAATAGTATTGAAACAGCATTGTGAAAGTTCCACTTTGTTTATTTTTAAGTCATAAAAGAGGCTGCATAGGACAAGACCAACTATAGGCAAACAGCTTAAACAATTTAGTTTATATATGTATATGTATATGTATATATATATATATATATATATATATATATATATATATATATATATATATATATATATATATATATATATATATATATATATATATATATATATATACATTAGAGTGGTTCTAAAAACAACTTTTTTTGAAAATGTCTGCTGAAACCCCCAAAATATTTTCTATATAATAAAATAAACTGTGGGCAGACAGCTTGAACAACTTAGTTTATATATATATATATATATATATATATATATATATATATATATATATATATATATATATATATATATATATATATATATATATATATACATAACATGTAAAGTCATGGTCAAAAAAGTAGAGATGACAATAACAACTTGGTTTTTATTTAACCATTTTAGACCTCGGTGAATTAATAATTATTATGTGTAAGTCATTGTTTCTAAGGAGAATTTACATTTATTTTCGCTCATATTTTTATTTTTCATCATTTTTTGTTTTAGCAACTTAATGTATATTCTATTGAAATCTATTCTAGTCAGTATTATTGTTTATTATTTTATTTACATTTAATGGGTAAAATAAAAGACATTACTCCAAGAGAAGCAACTGTTGTTGTTGCCTATGCAAATGATGACATATCATATCAGAATATTGCAGAGAAAATCGATATTCCCATTCGAAATTCGATACTCACATATATATGCGTGTAAAATTTATAGGTTTTTACAGTGGGTCGTATTGCAGTCAAGTACAAGGCAATCTTGGAAAACTAGCTGAAACCCATCATGGCCATACAGAAGTGTAATATGTTCTAGCAGAACTTGGTTCTGTGTCATACCGCCAAAGTTATAACCACCTGGCTTAAGGAAAACAAAATAAAGCTTCTAGACTGGCCTGGAAACTCTCCTGACTTAAATCCAAATGAGAATCTTTGGTGTATCATGAAGAGAAAAGTGGCAATCCATGCTCCATCGAATATGCAGGATCTCATCTGCTGAAATAAGTTTAATGCAGTGAAATAACTGTTGAATTGTGTAAAAAACTAGTAGATTCCATGCCAAAGAAATTAAAACTCGTGCTTCAACATAAAGGTGCTGCCACAAAGTATCAAATTGTTTGTTTTTTGTCCATCAACAAAAAGTTTGTGGCCCAGTTAAATTGAGGAGTGGTTATTCTCTACATGGTCATAAAAATTGAACACTAAACAATTTAAACATAAAAATTGAAACCTGCAGATGAATACATAGCTAGTTTATATTTATGAAAAATAAATAATGCAACTTATTGCCCTTACGTTTAGGGTAGGGGGGACTAAGATTTTAGGGTTTCTTGTTCCCATT